ACGAGTAATTAGTCATTTTTCACCGAGAAAAAGGAAAAACGTATCGAGAAATCGGTCATCTTTTAAAATTAAGTAAGAGTAATCGTGGCTGATATTGTATGGAGATACAACGATGAATTAGTATTAGAAATAATAAAGGATACGTGTATAAGCGTCAAATTTACTATCGGCAGCTTTATGAAAACATTTAATCACATTTGTCTCCTTTCCCTTTTCTAATATAGTAATATTTTATTTACCGGTATTATACCGAGATACATCCACCGACCTAACATCGTTTCGATAGCATCATACCGGAATTCGCACCATTTTCGATTTCATCAAACGTAATCGAATAGTAACCTAAAAATACCGATATTTTACCGATTCGGTCTCTGTTTTCAACGTTTTATTTTAAAGAGAGATTCATTTCATTCAAATCATTTTACCTTAAAGGGAGATTCGTTTCATTCGGATCAGACGTTTTACTTTTAAAGACGGTACCAGAATCCATTTTTAATATTTTATTTTAAAGAGAATAAAAAATAGGAAGAATTTTCGTAATTACCGGGTGAAAGAGGAGCAAGGAATAAAAAGAGGTGGAAGAGCCGTAAAAAGATTTGTTTGACCAGTCGAATAAACAGACGCGCCGGTGTTTAGTACTTTCTTCTTCGGAAGAAACAAATGGAAATGGCTACCGTTTCTTCCTTCGTCTTCTTCCGCCTTTCATCCCCACGGTAATTTCAAGAGCATACCCTTCGCGCGTTTCGTCACCCTCTGTCCTTGCGTAACACGCGTCCAACCCTCGGGAGAAGTTAGACGATCGTCGGGCAAGCTGAATCTCGTGGCCCATATAAAAAGGTTCCTGACAACCTTCGTCGTTCATGGCGAGTTCTTCCCTACTTTCAGTCGATTCGAGCTCGCCATCTGAATCGGATAGCTTTCATCTCCGCTTCTGTCCTTTATTTCTTTCTTGCAATTTTTCGCCCCTTTCGCTCTTGTTACTTTATTTACCAGCTAAGTAACACTAGAAAATTGGTAAGTCGTAAATTTCTCTCTTCTGAT